TAGCTGGCCAGCGATGGACCCAAATTGACCACTTAGCCAAAACTTAAATGGCGTGGTTCTATCCTGGATTGCCGCTGGTACTGGAGTACCTATGTCGACTCTGATCATGCCTTGGTATGCTGTCGTTTCTCCATGAACTTTACCGGGGGGCGCACCAAGCGTCTCCTCCAATTGGCAACTCAGGCAAACCTATCATGACGTAATGCGTACCGAAGTTACGCTGTCTTGTCCCAATGGCGCTGAGCTTCAGTGGAATAGGATCTCGGCCGCCAAGCACGACACAGGAGCATCTATTTGTGGCACTATCAATGGTCACAGCATCAGCCACTGGATATCCGAGAGATAGGTGAACCTGTTGAAATCTAGAAGAAACCTCCCGGTTGTGACCAGACGGGCTGTTTGGCGTGAAATAAAGCAGAGCCTATTTGCGGACAAGGAAGTCTGGTGGACCAGTCGGGCTCAAGAAATGGAGGAGGCAGGAGCAGTAGGCAATTACCACAAGCTCTTCCAGCTTATCCTCACCACTGGTCCCAGAAAACCAGGTGTCAGTGAGACAATCAGAGACAGCGCAGGTGCACTCATGCACAATAAGGAGCGCCGTTTGGCTCGTTGAGCGGAACACTTGCAAGATCAGTTCAGCTGGCCTCCTGCTCCCGGACCTCTCCCTACTCAGGTGATGCAGGACGAGCCATGGAAGGTAGATTAGAGCCTCCGGCGGATGCCGAGTTCCAAAACGCGATCACAACCCTCAGTCGTTCTTATGCCGCTGGCCCGGATTTCCCCCCTCCACTTGCAATATTTAAGGATGGAGTTGTGGTCCTCTGCAAAGCAGTGACCTCCCTATTCGAACGTATCTGGAAGGAAGTGTCCCGGCTAGTTGGAACGAATCGATGATAGTGGCAATATACAAGAAGGGCAGTCACACAGACTGTTGTAACCACAGGAGTATTAGCCTAACATTAGTTATGACAAAATTACTGGCCTCGAGTCTTGTTCGTCGCCTCACTGCTGCATGGGAATCTCGGAGTAGGGAAGAGCAGGCCGATTTGCGCCCAGGACCTGATTGTATATACCATATATTCACTTTTCGGCAGGTGCTAGAGCAGCGCCATGCATAACGCAGACCGACAATAGCTGTGTTCCTCGATTTCAAGAGTGCATTCGATGCAGTCGATCGATCGATTCTGTTTGAAATACTTGCGCGGAAAGGTGTTCCCACGAAATATGTGCACATCCTTCGTGCTCCATACTCTGAACACTACAGGCCGCGTCAGGGTCTATGGTGTCCTATCGGATGGCATTCCGAGGACAAGTGGCGTTCCTCAGGGTTGTCCGATTTCCCCATTTTTGTTCAAGTTCGTCGTGGATTCTATCATGGAGTGTTCCCTTGGGGAATCTCACGAGGCAGGGGTTGAAGTGCTGCCTGGTGAAAGGTTAGTAGATCTAGCTTATGCGGACTATATCGTCTTGCTTTTCTACAGTATGCAACGGCACGGTCAACCCTAAATAGCCTGTCTAGAGTGGTCCCATTATTTGGTATGCACTTCGCACCTTCAAAGTGCAAAGTGTTGCTACAGGACCACCTGCCACTTGATGACCCCTTGACGCTTGCTAACGAGGAACTCGAGGTGGTTGATCATTTCACTTATCTTGGCAGCTGCATCAGCAATGATGGGCGCACAGAAACTGACATCAGCTCACGCATTGCAAAGGCCAGAGCTGCCTTCATGAACCTGTGGCATCTTTGTCGACACAGGGGAATTTCTCTCCGTCTGAAATACCGTGTATACAAAGCCACAGTGAGGGCCGTTCTGCTGTATGGTAGTGATACTTGGCCCCTACGGTCTGTAGATCTGAGGCGCCTTCAAGTCTTTAATCATTGTTCTCTGCGTAGCATTGCTCGAGTCGGATGGCACCAGCGTGTCCGCAACGATGATGTGCGTATGCGAGTACTAGGTAGTGATAATCATGCTAGCTCCCTAGAACAACAGATAGCACTGAATAAGTTGCGTTGTCTCGGGCATGTGCTACGTATGCCTGGTCACCGCTTACCTAGGAGGGCCTTGTTTAGTCTACCAGGTGTAGGGTGGCACAAGGCTCGCGGTGGACAGAAGTTGACTTGGCAACGGGAAATGAAGTCATTGACGACCAAACTGGGTGCCGTTGTTCCGTATCACCTTTCGGGCTGGAGTCCACGTGACTCGCCTTGTATTTGGCTCGAGGCTTTACAGGACATGGCTCGCAACCGACACCAGTGGCGCGTCTGCTGCCGTCTCCTAATCGGATTGTCTGTTTTAAGTGTGTTTGGTGCTGAGTTATCTGCGGGGTAATGGCTGATTATGACGTGGGGCACTGAAGGCCGTAAGGAAGCTCTTTCGTCTATGCAACCTTATCTTTGCACCATAGCCAGCTGTTCGTGACGGTATGTTGTCTACACAAAGTGTAGGCGCCTTGACCATGAATGTTTGCTTAAGGCATTACGGTTTTCAGGTAGGTCCCCCTTCTCTCCCTCCTTATTCTTTATTTCATAGGTCGTTATGGTTGTATGGCAGCGAAGCACCAGTTTAAAAGGCTGGTGTACTGCTTTTGAGATTGTTGTTGTTGTTGTTTTTGTTGTTATTGTTGTTGTTGTTTTGTAGAAGTAGTAACAGTTGTTGTTGTTGTCGTTGTTATTGTTGTTGTTGTTGGTGGTGGTGTTGTACTGCCAATCTGCTGATTACGAGTTGCAGTTGGATGGAAATACTCGACATTGGGACTAGGATTGAGGTCATCTAGCTAGAATTTTCTAATGTCTTCGATCGCTTAGCTCACTGAATCACTGTCCAAAAGCTGCATACCTACGCAATTAGGGACCCGGTCCTTGGATGGATCGAAAATTTCCTGATTCACTGGTGGATAAATGTTCGGGCTTGGGGTTCATTTTCTTATCCTATCTATGTGAACTGTGGTATCCCACAGGGATCAGGGTTAGGACCGCGCCTATTCCTGGTCTGCATCAACGATTTCATGCGTGTCATCGAGTAGAATTTCCTGCTTTTTGCCGATACCATCAAGATATGCGGGCGATCGGTTTTCCGGACGATTACGATGTGCTGCAGAATGACTTAGAACGTGCCAATGAATGGTCAAAAGCAAATCTTCTTCCGTTTAACGCGGACACGTGCAAGACTACATGTACGCCACAAGCCCACTTACGCATATAAGCATGGAGACCACATGCTAAAGCCCTCCTCACAGGAGTGTGATCTTAGGGTGGTTATGCAAGACGACCTCGGCTGTTCGACGCAATCTCGGAAGCGTCTAAAACCGGTAACCAACAATTCCCTCACTTATGGAGGGCGTTCTGGCGGTTTGACCCCTCCAGCTTCCTTCAAATGCTCAATGTATATGTGTGACCCCATTTGGAGTACGCGATACAGGTCTGGCAACTCTGGTTAAAAGGCAAGCTGTTTGCACTGGATACCGCTCAGCGAAGTGCAACCAAGAATGTGAAGGGCATGCTCCACCTGCCATATCATCTGCGACTGAGAGCCCTGGGAGTGTACAGTGGTAGATATCACCGTCTACGAAGCGTCCTCATTCTGGCGTACGACATCTTAAGAAACCCCGAGCACGCTTGCCGCCACCACCCGAAATTAAGCCGCAACACAAAATTGTGTGGTCACCAGCTGAAACTAGCTACGCAATACAGTCGGCTGGAATACCGCCGCCACCATTTTTCTCTTCGAATGTGTCACTACTGGAACGGTCTTTTGACATTTGTCATTTCTGCTCCCAAGCTATCCGACGATGCACTACAACACCTGCAGTAGCTCATCTGATTTATGTTCATTTAGTGACAACAAGATGCAAACATTGTGCTCTGTAGCTCTCACAATATCGGTGTAAACGGGTACACATGGGTGTGCAAACGGATACACATGTGTGTTATCGAACATAATCCGACTTACATTGGATTACAGTTACGAATACCGCAGTGAGTCCACCATTGTGAACCTAAGTTTGCTGACGATATTCCTTATACTTTGAATTTTCACTATGATCACCGTGCGGGACCCGTTAAGCTTCAGACTTTTTAACCGGATAGAATGATTGTTCCATTGTTGTTCGATAGTAGTCTACTACGACTGTTGCATATATTGCAAATGGCAACCATCCGTATAAAATGTATTTTCTGAACCAGGTGCAAAATTCGGGGGTATTATTTGTAACTGATATACCGACGGTACGCTGTAACTAGGTGCTGGGTCTACCGTACTATATTTGACCGACTAACTTTGTTGAGAAGGCCCTCATTTTCAGAACGGACTAATGTTGCAGCAAAGGCGGAAGGCCCAGGGAGTGAAGTGAAAGTCCAAGATTGTTACGTGACAACTCACATAAGGAGACCATGAAATCTGAGCGAAGGCGGACGCAAATGCCGCCACCGCTACATCCAAGACACTGCGGTAGCCCAATGAATGACTGAAACGAACGGTACGTTGCAAGCGCGTAAATGCTTCTCAGTTGCAACCAATCTTAAAATTTTCTTATTTCAAAAGTGTCAATCCACGTTTCATCTGGTTCAGTAGCTGGTCGCATGCGTAGGTTGCATTGCGCTTGGCCACCTAAGCTGCAGTAAGTTGCCAAAAACATGACGATACCTGCCGGTGCATCCATTTAGAAACTTCGGCCGCACACTAGCACGGTGCCTTAGTCGGAGCTGACATTTTGTATTGGAGAAACACCGCACAATGTGCTTAGGATAATATTTTACAACTTTTCTTGCCCCACACTCACAAACAGAAATCAGTTGATTTAGATAAAAATGCAAATCCTTACTTGGAATTGATTACGCTTCCAATATTCCAAATGAATAAGTTTTTCTGTACTTTCCAGCTGTCGATCAGACGATTAATTTGGATAACCTGACCCATTGATGCCCAAGCCAGGAGATGAAACAAACCGCACCTGACGCCCAATAACCAAAGCACAACATACTACGTGGGTGCATCCAAAACAGTTGTATTTAAGTGCATAGCAAAAGTTGTATTCGAGTGCATAGCAAAACAGTTCGAATTCAAAAAGTCGTCGATTTTCGGAGTATGCGTATGAAGTCCTTCTCTGTAACCGCACCTTTCCCAGACTTATCCGCCTCATCGATCATTTCCTAGGGAAATAGATAAATGGAAGATGGATTAGCATCTCCTTACTGTATGAACTTAGATGAGAAACTCATACACGCCATCGATCACAAATGCGTATGGTATTAGTAATTGAAGCTATTTGCTAATAAAGTGCAGACGAATGGTCTAAATGTTTTTGGTCACGTCCGCCCGTTCATGAACCACGGCATATTTTCTACCCATCCGTCCGATCCCATAGGTCCATCTAACATTCATTTAGTTAAACAGTGGGCCTTGTTGGGTGTCACTCCGTCCGAACGATCACCATGCATATCAGATCAGTCATACAATATAGCTAATAGAGTGCCTTTCATCGACAGCCACCAAGCAGCTCACTCGAATAGTCACAGAGATGTGGAAAAACAAAATGGCTGCTGTCTTGTGAAGTTACGGTTTCCAGATTCGACGGTTGGTTGGCACAAGCCAAACTCATCGTCCTTAGTGACTCAAAACCTACAAAACTTTGGAGACCAACAGCTTCTACGATGAGGCCCGGTGATCAGCATGAAAGCGTGTGTGTTCATTCACCTAGGGTACTAGGCAAAGCATTAGGGCGTTAGCAACCGCAGCGCCAATGGCTAGTTTTTAAGTAGAAAATTCGACCATCGATTAGACTCGTCCATCTACTCCCTTCCATACACACCCGACTTGGCATCAGTCATCTCGGTACTACTTCATCCACCAACTTGTCTCGTTCTGACTGCTCGGCAACCGGTAAAACAAATTAGGTGTGTATTACCCTCTATTTCTACGTTTGGGTTTAACCCCAACGCGTGCCACTAGTAACTGGCACAGTAACTGAGACAAGTTGGAAGCCGTACGTTCAGGTGTAGCAGTCCGAGAAGAATCCTTCGTTTTCGGTCTGTTGGTTTTATAGCCAACTTTCTTTCCGGGTGGTCAAGTCCGTGGATCGTAATCCAACATAGATTGAGCAGCCTACTACTCGCGTATGACTGACCATTTGTATTACCCAGGACATTTGAACATGTTTATGATGAAAAGTCATACTTTGATTACATACCAGGGTAAGGTTTGAGTTATTTGTGTTGACTCGTTGGAGTCATCCCTGACAAGCAATAACTGAACAGGTGCGTCGCTGCAAATCGTTTTACACATCTGTTGCATGCATAGCGCAACCCGTAACACACCAGTAGTGTGTCCAGCATTTATACATGGAGCATTTCTGTAGAAATCACAAATTCGTTCCGACACACGCTGTTCTTTAGAATCTTCTCCATGGTTGTCATCGTTATCACTGAGTGAAAGGAAACCTTTTTGTAGCTTGCCGATTATAAAGTTTAGAACAAAAAGAAACCCCTAATCATAGATTGTTAATGTATGGGCAACTAATTGCTCACAATTCGCCTGTTCAATGTCCCAAATAACGTCGAATGGTGATCAATAGGCTACTGGGACATGATTGGCTTAAATTAGGTACGCTTTCTGTGGGTTGAGTACAAATCCACTGAATAAAAGAGCTAAGCTTAAATACCACGAGTCGTCTCAAGTGTCTGTACTGCCATCATGCTGTGTTTGAACGAACCTACGTGCTAATCACGCGTTTGCGCACACCTTTTCCCCGGTGTTTCTCAGCCGCATTTTGTCACATATACGTGTGCCTACACTGATTCGATCCAGCTTCATCAGCGCTATCCAATGCACTCCATTTTTCAGATCCATCTTGTGTGGATCACCTTTTATCTTCATATCGCCGCTTACGCACTGTTCCCACAGAAACACAAACGAGGAATATTCCGAAGTAGCAACCACACAGCGACATTTGTGGTCTCAAACGAAAGCCAATTCCGCGTTTTATCTGACGAGTCATCAACCACAGCTATCGACGGTAATAAATGTAGCAATTGTACACTTTGTGTCCGTATCGCTCAGTCGCTTTATTTACCGAATGAACGACCTAGCCGCTTGAACATGCTCCACCATGGATAGACGCATCGCAGGTGACGAACTTCAAAATGCAGACAATTCAGCGAATACGCAAGTAACCACAGGCGCTTGAGCATTGATTCGAATGGCATCCATCGACGCAGCGGAGTGCCACAACCATCAAAAGCCCATGTTACCGCATTCAGATCGACAGTAGTAAGCGGCTTTCCTGCATGCCATAGCAATGAACGTACTGGAGCTCCGTGTTCTAATTGTCTTGGCAAATTTTATTCTAAGTGTTTCAAGCTCACAGTTCACCAGTTGAAGATACACAATAGTCAAGTAGATTCACCTTGGTTCTGTGAAGTATGTATAGTCATCCCACTGATAAAGATTGTACATGAACTATCGCAGAAACACGAAAAATTGGCAGCAATGATTGAATAAATGAGACACATTAAACTTGATTCATTTGAGGAAAGTGCGGCTGAGAGCGAACCCCACTCTGTGCCATTAGGCTCCGCATCTAAACTGAGGACGATGGCTGGGCAGCGCTAAAACATGCCTGCCCTGTCGCTTTAAGTATCAATACCACCAGTTTCCCAACTACGCCTTATACAACCATCGCCAGTTCGATTGGAATAAGTACGGTCAGGGTCTTGTCCAGTTTCCGAACTGTTCCGAAATTTCAGGAGAACCTCGACACCAGTGGTGTTTGGAACTTGGTTGCTGCCAAAGGCAACCGAAAACTTGTCCCTTAGGCTACTTCCGCTGGGCCAAAAGTAAACGAAGGAGACGAAGCTGTACTTACACAGTCCCTACCGGCTGAATGCAGATTACCTGGGCGGTTGACCTCAACCCGAGTTGCACATAGTGTGCCAGAGGTAATTTGCACCAAGATTACAGAAGTGACGTAAAATTCTTTAAAAGGTAAACAACTTGGTGATTTGTACTCGTAAAATGACATCATAGAGGTTGTAGTTGAGCAGGACAAATTGACACGCGTTACCCGTCACCTAAACGCACAGCACTACAGCAAATCGTGACTACTCCGAGCCATGATGAGGTTCACCGATGGATCAGAAAATATCTTGTTATCGGATGCTTTCTTCCGGAATGGGCCACGTTCCACCCGCATTTTCGCGGATATTCCGTAGAATAAATGCAAAAAAGGCAAAGCACAACTTGTACGAATACGGGAATAAATCCGAAGCCAGTACTATCCTTGTTCCCCAGGCTAGAGGTCATGATGTGCGCGAAGCAAGCACTCACTATTAAGAACAGTAGCGACACCGCAAGACACTCTCCTTTAAAAAAGTAATAGGGCAATCGATCTCGAGAACGCGCAGCACATCAAATCACAAAGGGTGTGGCCCGAGGATTGTGAGAGTGGTCCTTCAGTCTAGACAGATGTCAACAATGGTTTTGGAGTGCTGATACGTGACAGAAAGTTGCCTTCCTTCCGAGCTTCGGACACAAGCAGCATCCACTATGCAAACACACGATTGCAGCCAGCTGGGCGGACAACTTCCAGACAACAGTTCGGATAACTCGACTCAGCTAGCCACCGAACTTGGCAAACCCACCCCATAGATTAGTTATAACTAGCGAAGCCAAGTGACTCTGATGGAATCCATGGGTCCGACACAGATGGGTTCGCCATCGCTCGACCCAGAAAAACGAGTAATGGCCGACCTTTCACCGATCGCCATAACCTTATTCTCTAAACACGTGTCGCCCGATTATTGCTTAGAACAGAGAAACTTTCATACGTGTACACTAATGCACCAGGTCTTCTGAACAAGCTGGCTGGACTGGGAATACGTCAAGCATCATACGCCTAGGACTACATATTCTTAACGGAAACTTGGCTGCACCCAGAAAATACCGACGCAGAAGTCGCGATACTTGATATGTCCCTTCGCCGAAACGATCGTCCTAGCAAGCGCAGGAGGCAATGTTGTACTACTGTAGCGACCTGCAGTGCGAACCGGTGGACGATCCGGAAACGAGTATCATAAACTTACTCTGGTGCAGTATGCGACTGAAGTGCAAGGACACTTGCCTTCTGGCAGTTGTTTACTGTCTCCCGACGTTCACCACAGTGATGGACTCCCGTCTGACATTGGTCTTGGCAAGGGTCCTATGACGACGATACAATCATGTTCTCATCTCAGGTGACCACATTATTCATGATCTGAAAGTTCCGAAATCCCCTAAACAAGCAATTTAAGGTTTACCTGCAAGAGGTTATCGCAAGCATTCCGCTCTTCAGCCATGTCAGCTTGTTCACCAGATTTAGAGCGGAAAATAAAAACAATCAGTACCTGCTTTAGCGCTCCCGAAGGAAGAGCTCATGATTGAGAAACCAAACATGAAAGCCCGCTGAGACGGTATAGATAGGTAACAATAATTTATGACTTTGTGTGTTATGCCGAAGATCAACCAGAACACGGTGACTTCTTTCGAGCAATCACACACTACGATACATTAGCAGAATTGTTTGGAGATGTCATTCGAGAGTTTTCGGACTACTGTTCCATTGACATTGCTTGGATGGCGTTTGCTGGAAAGTTCAGCGATCTGCATTGGTCAACAAGCCCCTTCGTTCTGCAAAAGCACAAGCATTCCCCCGGAGCATAACCCGTAAACACATGACACTAAGAGCCGCAGCGTGTATGTGTATAGAGAGAACTCTACCCCTGACAACTGGAGCAACCATGAAGTGCATCGCAGTTACTGTATCACACTTGTCCGTGAAGACTAATAAGTGCACCAGCAGGGCTTAGTGGAAAGGTTTTGTGCTAATTAACTCTTTTGTACAGACATGTGAACAGTCTCTAGAATGTGAACCGTGGTGTTACCCTCTAATATTAGCAGAAGTATGTCCTCAAACCGATGAGGCTGCAGCCAAATTTCTACGCCCACAGTATGCACAAATTCTTCAACGCTCTACCAGCATATGTAATATAACTGTCCCACTCCCCCAAACTCCAGTATCTATCCACGTCACTTTTAGTTCAGCAACCATTTTGAGGAAACTGCTATCATTGCACACCCGTAGTTTCCCGTGGTTGACAACGTACCTCGAAAGCTCTGT